TGTAAATGTTACCTTTCATACTCATAATGTATTAGAAACAAAAGGAATCAATAAAAAGCAAAACGTAAGCTTTTAATATTTGAAATAGTCATAAGAATTTTTCATTTTAATTTCAGTAATGATATTCTGGTTTAGTTCCAGTTGAGTGTCTCATGAGGGACAAAGAGATGGGATTTTATTTTTATTTTTCTTAGTGTTTGTGTTTTTTTCGAGACAGGGTTTCTCTGTGTAACAGTTCTGACTGTCCTCACATCTGTTTTGTAGACAAGGCTGGCATTGATCTCACAAAGATCTGCCTACCTCTCTCTGCCTCCCAAGTGCTGGCACTAAAAGTGCACACCACACCTGCCTGGCTGAGATTTTCAAATATGATAACAGTTCTCCAGACCCCACTGATCCTGCAAGATTAGAAAAGAACTCTCTCTTTCTAGGACATAGACATAAATGCATTAGAGTTGATATTAAGTGTGCTAATATAAAATCAATGTGTACCTGAAATTTGGGTTAACCATCATCTTTCAAATTTTTAAATACACGGAAGTTGTTCTTGAATGGTTGCTTTGAAGGAGTCAAGTATTACTTGATATGATGCATGACCTTTGTGCATGTCAAAGGTCTCAGAATATCTTCCTATGACTGCATAGTATGTGATAGTAAGGGTGTACATGAATACTATCTAGTCAACTCTGGACATGGAAGTTTTCAATGTTCTATTTCTACAAACAGTGCTGCAATAAAAATATATGGAGAAACTTCCTTGTGCATGTCCTTCCATGGATGTGCCCTTGTTTGTTTGCCAGGTCAAATCCTGTAAGTGGACTTGTCTCTGATAGAGATTTCTAAATTGCATTTAGAAAGTTTAATCAGATAACACCTAGTAAATCTTCCCTTGCACAGTTCTAACCCTGGCTAAAGAGTATTTAATGTACAAATGATTGCCAGTTTTACAGGTAAACCTGTGTTTTGCTACATTACTATGATCACTTTGATTATTTGTGTGAATATTTTCTACAGGACTGTTGCCGGTTTTAATTATGGAGATGATATGGCTTTGACTTTCAACCCTTGAAGCTTCATGTATCCTGCAGTTCTGCATCGACTCTTTCAATTCTCGGTTAATTTTTCCTGGTTTTAAACTAGCTTTGATAATACAGGAGTCAGCCTTGCACTCCATGAACCTTTTCATTACAAACAGAGTAGCCCTTCCCATCTGCCTTCAAGCCCTGCAAAGTTGTATTTTTGCTTCAAAAGTGAAACCGCAGGCGGAGTTCCGTTTCTCATTTACCACTTCTCTACCTGAGCTGTTAGTTTTGTTTTTGCTGGGGACTGAGGGCAAGTGAGAGGGCATCTTACCCAGTTATGGAATCTGGAAAGTTCTTCAGAGATGTTTGCTTTGCACCTCTCTCTCTCTCTCTCTCTCTCTCTCTCTCTCTCTCTCTCTCTCTCTCTCTCTCTCTCTCTCTCTTTCTCTCTCTCTCAATTTCCACCCTTCTCTCTTTTTGTTTTTTAGTTTTGTTTTTTCTCAATAGGGCTTCTCTGTGTTACTGCCCTGGATGTCCTGGAACTAGCTCTGTAGACCAAGCTGGCCTCTGCCTCTGCCTTTGAAGTGCTGGGATTAAAGGCATGCCTCACCATGCTTGACTGCAGACCTCTTCAGTTTGTCCCTTGAAAATAATTGAAAAACTGGCCAGAATTCCTCTTGTGTTTAAAATAATCTATAGAGTATAAAACAGCTTTTAAGAACAGAGATACTGTTTTCACTAAGCATGCCACCGTAAACACTTCCATGAGTCACTCAGGAGGTGACTACAGCCGGCCCTCTATAAGTAACAACAGCTGTACAGAAAAAGCAAGTGTGCATTTTTCATCAGCATTGAAAAAGACCAAAGAAATTCAGTAGACTTGTAATCTTCTTAAATATAACGGGCTCTTCTTGAGTATCAGTACTTCCTTCTTTCATTATAAAAAAAACAAACGAACTTTGTTGTAAACTTCATGAATAAATAAGGTCTACTTTGGCATCTGTACTTACTATCTTCTAATAAAGTCCCAGAAAGATGATGGAGAGAGTAGACATATGGATGATAGAATCGATTGATAAGCAGGCTATTTGTTTACATTGTTACCAGGGTATTTTAGTCCATTTGCATTTGTCATGCAAGTACTGGTATATGTACACATGCCATTTTATTTTACATGCTCTTTTCTTTGTTTTACAGCAATGTTGTACTCCTTATTTTATCAAGTAAATAGAGAACAGTTACATACAGCTCAAGTAATTTATCTAGAATATTAGTAAAAGGTGAAAGATTTATCTCTCCTGAGAAACCACAATAAGATGCGTAACCATAGTAGCAATATTTAATAGATGCTTATTAGCCATGTGATAGATTTGTACACTTAAGTATGCATATCTGAAAAAGCATACATACAATAAGGAGATTTAACAAACTGCCATAATACGTTGTTTACGATGAACATGATGTGTTTAGTTTAGTGTGTATGGTATGATTGTTTTTAAGGAACCCCACAGATCTACAGCATAAAAATCACGTATTCAAACCACAAGCATATTGAGAAGAGAAATGAATAATTTAGCTAGAGTGAGGCCATACATTTAGGATTGATGCCTCATTTAGGCTCATTTCCTGTAATCCAGGCAGTTGTTCCAAATTTTATACTTCACTAAATTGCTATGGAGTTGATTATGTTGTTCTGGAATCGACAAATTCAAGGATATGTGACAGTTTCACAAATGATTTCCATTAATTGCAGAGGTCTGTACTTTATAAGGGCTAGAGCAAAATTGAGTTTGCTGAAGACTAGCAGAATTTTTTTTAAAAAGTAATCTTTAGTGTTAGATCATTTTTATGCATAAAATTTATTTGATGTAGAAACAACTTATACATAATCAAGAGCAATCAAAATAATGCATTTTGGAACACAGATCACAAACATGCTAGGATGGAGAATATTTTACAGTTTCTTTGAGTGAGCAATGAGACAAAAGTAAATATTTTCTAAAAAGAATTGATAACACTAATAAAGTATTAAATTTACTATCAATGTTGACAGGTATGGAGTAATATTGATGAAGACAAAATTTAAGAAGGGAGTGATAGGAGATGAGTTAATTATTAAACTTTCTTAATTAGAAACAAAAATAACAAAGAAAAGTTAGGCTTGTAACATCAGTTAAAGACACACAACAAATCATAAAGTTAGGTTAACATTGTGTTCCATGTCTTCTGAATGGACATTTGTCTAACCGGACTGTAGTTCAACTTAATCACTTATAGCCAAGTAAAAATGTCCCACGATAATTTTACATTTGGGCTTTTGAAATCTTGTGCACATTAGCTTAATATATATAGGAAGTAGACTATTGGAACTGACAATTCACTGTATTCTAAGAACCCATTTTAATAGATTGGTGTACTAGACATTTAAAACAGGGTTTTGGGGGGACTCTCTAGTCATGTTTTATAACACAATTCTAATTTATCAATTCAGTTATGAAATACAGTTCCTTTATGGAAATGATTAAGATAACCAGAAACAACAAGGGCAACTCATTGTAAGGTATATTTTTTTTGATCTGCAAAATAAAATCAGAATATTGGAAGGATCTCCCCTCTGGAAAACTCTATGTAAATTCTAGCCATAATTACTTTCTCTTTGATACAAAAAATAATAAATGACTTATAGTAAGTAACGGATCACAGGAATTTGCAGAAGAAAATTCAAACCACATTTATGGAAGACAAAGGAACTTGGAATAGCTAGAAAATGTAAATAGTGCAGCAGTCTGAAATGAGCCTCTGGCTCTCCCAATCTGACAAGGCTGTGGCCATTGTCCTGTTAGCAGGCTACACCAGTGACATGGCTTTTAAAAATAAATTTACAGTTATTTTAGTATTGCTTGGCTTTTGTGAATGAGCTCTGGAGAAAAACCAAGGCTTACTCTTTTATAAGGCCAGACACAGCAGACAAGTCATTTCTCACTTCTGAGATTGCCAGCAAGGAAGGAGAGTGATTTGAGGGGTTGAGATGAATCACAGGGTTAGATTTCTTCCACCCACCACCACATACCTTGCTTTCTGCATTATAAAAAAAGGAATTAGTCTGTGACCCCAGTGACAGACAACTCTCAGTCATTCGCATAGCTTCCCCCATTACTATTACGATCAGCACAGAAATGATTTGACATGTCAGCGTGGACACATTACACGAATCTCAAGAAGCATCAGGTTAGTCTGAATCTTCGGATGTGTTTCTGGGACTGCGCATGCCTTCATTGCACTTATTTGAAAACTGATCATTGGTGACCAGGCAACACTTTATCAAGGGTTTAATGGAGCACTTCTTTGGGGGGATAAATTCAAGAAAACTATTTCAGAAATGCTTTGAACATTGGTATACTTTTGGTTTTGTTGTTAAAGACATAGAGTAGCTTAAGTAAATGAAAACAATCAGCCTTACCGTATTACTTCAGATTATTACTGTTATTTTGTTTTACCAACTTTGGGTGTAACCTGCAAGATACAATGTGTTAGGATGTCAGATTTATCTTCTAAAAATTCTTGGCAGTGTGTGTTGTTTATTCGATTCTGATCTTGGTTGTCAAAACAGTTAAGACCAGACATGAATGATGGTGCTTATAGTAATAGCTCAGGCTTTCTCACATCCAGTGACTCTCTGCTGGTCAACTTTTTAGAAGCATTTTCTCAAAAACAGTGACTCTAATGATTATCAAGGTGTTTCACTGTTCTGTATGATAAAAATGTACCCTTGATGTTCTGTGTTCTGCTTTTGCTTAAGCTTTGAAGAACTGTTCAACTATTTTGAATTCAATTTTGAAGTTTATCAGAAAACTTTATTTGCTATGGTTTACAGTCTTTTTTCCCTATAAATGCAACAATCTATTAAATAGCTACTAGTATATTTTCTACTGCTATTAATGTTATTATAATTAATATTTTAATATGAAAAAATACTTATAAAAGGACATATTAATTTATTTGGTGAATAACAATAAACAAATAGAATTTTGTCGAACCAAAATCTGTACTTTCAGCTTCAAAATAGGTTCAGTATAAGAACATGCCTTATACTTTTACTGTGAGAGAAACTTGGAGGACATTAAATAAGCTGGTATCTGAAAATAATTTGTATTTTATTATTTCTAAGTTCAACATTTAGCATTAAAAAAGTAATTCATTTAGGCCAGCAATTGGTCCAAACCCCACATTTTCTGGAATTGAAGCCCAAGCTCACAATAGCCCACTTGCAGGTGTAGCCTTTTGTTGTTGCCATTAATTGCAATTTTTGTTTGTTTTAAATATGGATGCAAGCTGACTCAGCAAATATTGTATTCGGTAAGAAGACCCAGAAAGGCCTTTGGGAGAGAAAGCATATGTAAGACACTAGTACAGTTCTTTTTCTTTGGCTGGATACAGAACATCCCATGTCATCTTGAAATTATATATACCAAGCAAAAGAATTATTAAAGCAATGTACAGCACTAACATTTTAATTAAAACCCCAAGTAATAATCTGCATGGGGGTGGGCCCTAGCCTCTAAGCTCCAATTACATTCGTAGTAACATTTTCATTTGATAACTAGATGACAGGTAATTTAAAACATGTAATTACAACGAAGTCCAATTCTAATTTATAAAGGCAATGAAAACAAACAGCACATTAAAACCTTGAAAAGCATCTACCATAGCATTATAATAAGCGGTATTGTTACCACTGTTTTTTTACAAGGCAAAGGTCAAACCTTGCACCATGCTTCCTTGTTAACACATTTTTGATCAGGTGATGAGGTGAGTTCCAGTTCATAAACTCAGTGCAAAGTGGCTTTATCTTCATGAGCTTTTCCTGCCACACCGGAACTGTCAAGAATGGCCTGGGATGAAAGCCAATGCTGGAGGGAGCTGAAGACTCACTAGATAAACTACTAAATGGGCCCAGAATCTATCTCAGTAACTCAGGGACTGTGAGCTACAGAGCACAAGTGAGCTTTTTGGTTATCCTGCATCCCACTGCATTTCTTACCAGATGAAAGTGTCTCTTCAAAATACAGCCCAGTGTGAGCAGTGGGGTGGATGGTCTCTGAAGGTACACTGATCAGCCTATGAGTTCAAGGACAGTGGAGTTTTGTAATGTCCCTGGTTGACTTGATTGCCACATAAGGCCCCATACCTGAAAATGCAGCACAACACAGGAGCTCAGCAGGAGACTTTTATAGATTCAACACTTCCTTGGGTTTATGAAGCAATATGAGTTTCATCTTTAATGCTTTTCTCTTTCTCCGTTGCTGACAAAACCCAACTTCCTAGGAGTGCCAGCAGAGCTTGAAATGTCACCATTCCCTTCAGAGCGACACAGACCTCTTTCTCCGCCTGGCAAAATCCTCTGCATGGATGAGGTTGGAAAGAGCCTTAGTGAGGTGGCTGTCTAACGTCTCAGTGCTGCTCCCAAAGTCATAGTTCTTCAGACAAGGGCACAGACGGTGTACAATGGCCCGACGGATATAGCTGTCAAAGACATAGTAAATGAAAGGGTTGACGCAGCTGTTGGCAAATGCCAAGGGCCCACTCACCTCCATGGCCAGCTGAAAAGACTCTGAGGACAACTGGTGTTCTGTCTGCAGCCTTGAAACAATGGCCAGGAGCTTGAAAGTATTAAAGGGCAACCAGGAGAAGATGAAGGCTGCCACAACAATGATGATGATCTTTATGGACTTCCTCAGCTTTTTGTTATGCTTTCCTGACTGCTGGTAATGCGCACACAGCCTCCTTGTGATGCAACAGTAGCAGGTCAAAATGCTCAGTAGGGGGACAAAGAAGGTGACAATTAAGGCTACCAGACCCCACATCAGTTTTAGTGGAGTGGGTTCCTTCTCTGCACAGTATGGCTTGCCATCCATGTGAGTGAGCTCCCTGGACAGAAGAGTGGGCAGTCCCAGGAGGCAGGAGATGATCCAGACACTGGCGCAGACTGCATATGCACAGTTTCTCCTTCTCAGTCTTCTGGATAAGGCTGGGCACATGATAGCCAGGTAGCGGTCCATGCTCATGCAAGTGAGTAAGAAGACACTACAGTGCATGTTCACTGAGATCGCATAGGAGCTGCCTTTGCACAGGAAAGAGCCAGTCCTCCACAGTCCCAGAGAGGCTTCCTTATCCACCCAAAGAGGCAGTGTGACAAGGAAAATGAAGTCAGAGGCAGCCAGGTTGATGATGAAGATGTCGATCAATCTTCGGTGGCCGTGTTTGAAGTGCAGTGCAACCACGAGGATGAAATTCCCCAATACTCCAGTCAGGAACACAGCTGTGTAAAAGATAGGGAGAAAGACAGATGTGTAGGAGATGTGGGGGAGAGTCTCCATGATAGGATGGTCTGTGCCTGTAACTTCATAGTAATCCAAATAAAGAAGGGTTGCTGTTGGGTCCATCACTGAAGCTGGATGCTGAATCTGGTAAGTGTTCTTACCTATCATGTGTCTTAGGAACTTTGGAACTCAAGGGAGCTTCCAGATGCAGTCAGTTTCTCTCTCTCTCTCTGCCGCTCTCTCTGCTCTCTCTGTCTCTATCTCTCCCTCTCTTTCAAGATCTTGGACAAACATGAAAACAGGTTAAAAAATGTAGTTTCTGCCAGTCTTCTGAAGGCCCACAAGTAGCACCCCTGTGATTGGTGTTGGCTGTGGTTGTGGTTTTCTTTCTTTGTGCTCGCCTGTGAAACTTAGGTGTTTTTTTGACTTCTTTATTTAAGATGTTTGATTTGTTTTCTTAAATCCAGAAATTAAGAAATGAATCAACATTTTTATTTTCACTTCTTTTAAAGAATGTGGCTTTTTTGGCCATTTCAGCGGTTTCTTTTTTTATTATTTATGTACATTGATGTTTTGCCTGCACATATGTCTGTGTGAGGATGCCAGATCTGCTGGAACTGGAGTTACAGACAGCTGTGAGCTGTCATGTGGGTGCTGGGAATTGAACCGGGATCCTTTGGAAGAGTGGCCAGGGCTCTTAACCGCTGAGCTATCTCTCCAGCCCCTAAGAATGTGGCTTTTTTGAACCAAATTATTTGATTGCATCCCTCTATGTCACCTTTAAAATACTGTTATAGAATTGTAAGCTGCTGATGAAGATGCCCTATTTTCTCACAGTTGGTATACACACACACACACACACACACATACACACACACACACACACACAATTAGGGTTTTATTGCATACAGAAGAAATTGTAATATTCCTAAATTACGAGGTTCACACACACAGCAAACATTGTGTTTGCAATTAAGGTGTGGAATTATTCCCATTTATCTGGCTCTTTTGTTTCATGATCAGTTATATCTTGATAAACACATTTTTAAAATGTTTGGATTGCATCTTGTACTTTTATTTATGATTTCAGTTTTTTGTCATCCATTCATTTCTCTTTCCCCTTTCCTTTCTTTTTTCTCTTTCCCCTTTCCCTCTCCTTCCTTCCCTCTCTCCATTTCTTTCCTTTGCTCTCCCTTTGTTCCTCTCCTTTCCCTCCTTCTCTCTTTCTTTTCTTCTCTCCATGGATAAATGCCAGGTCTAGCTATAGGTGCTACTGTGATTTATGGAGATTACAAGCATTTTAAAAACACTGTGATTTTTACCTTCCCACCTGCTTTTGTAACTCAATCACAAACTTTTTTTTTTTTTTGGTTTTTCGAGACAAGGTTTCTCTGTGGCTTTGGAGGCTGTCCTTGAACTAGCTCTTGTAGACCAGGCTGGCCTCGAACTCACAGAGATCCGCCTGCCTCTGCCTCCCAAGTGCTGGGATTAAAGGCGTGCGCCACCAACGCCCGGCCCACAAACTTCTTTTTTATTTCAGGTTACATCTCCAAGTACAAGAGACTTTCCCTTTGCAAATCACAGCTGCCTTCATTTCAGCCTGTCTCTGTGCTCTGCTACATCTTGGCAGCAGCGATTCTTCTGTTTCTGAGATAGGACCTTACTGTGCACTCAGGGAGGCCTTGAACTTAAGACGTTTCTACTTCATCTTCCCAAGGACTGGGAATAAAGGTGTTTGCTGCTGTACCCAGCAAGAGGTGGGTTTTTGTTGTTGTTTTAATTTTCTGCTTTCAAGCTATCACCTTTCTGTAAGTGTCTCCGCACATCAGTGAACTGGCAACAGATGCAAATACAGTATAAAGCGCCTCCATGGGGGAGCTGCTCGCTTCAGAATTTCGGTAAAATAACATATTTGAGGAACAAACTAAAACAGAAGGCACGTTTTCATGTGCATTCCTTTTTCTCATATGGAGAGATCAGAGCAAATTAAAACAACTTTTTAAATTGGCTCCACTGATGTCAATTCTTCACTTTCTGACGTATGTTGAGCCTCTTATCCTCACCTCCTCTCCTCCTTCCATCTCACTTAGTGCTCAAAAGTTCCGTTTCACAGTGGTCACGGTCACTGCTGTCCAGAAGAAGGGATGCCTGTAGATGAAAACGCAACTGCTACATATTCCAAGTCCTTTCTGTGGAAGGAGCATAGTTTTTACAATAACTGGCATGCTTAAAAGGCCAATTGGCTTTCCCTCCTTGTGGTCTCAGGTCACTTCTGACCTCCGAGACCAGGCAAAGGGAGTATGATTATGGAAGGAAGAGGACTCCTCTCCCGTGCAGCAAAGTCAGGAAGTCCACTAGGGAGTTGACCTATGGGGTGACTTGTCTTTTCTTTTGTCCCCAACTGTTCTGTGCTGTTCATACTTGTTATGGGGGGGGTATATTCTTTGCTAAATATAGACTGTAATTCAGAGAAACTAATGAACAGATTAACAGTTTGACATTTCTGGGACAGAAATCCTTCCCACTGGGTAAACTTTAATCATTTAAGAGAATAATTCATTTTTTCCAAATAGTTTGAAGTAGGGCAATATTTACATGGAAAAGAATAGTTGTTTAAAACAGAATACTTAAACACTGCATCTGCATGAGCACGTGTTGAAGGGTCAGTCACAGAAATGTTCTGTAATTGCGCCTTAGCTGTAATACTAAACTCATTCAGTCAGAAGTTATTGTGCATTTGATAACATAAGGCTGATTTGGGTGTAAGTGCCTTTTGTTGTTTTTGTTTTTTGTTTTATTTTGTTTTGTTTTGAGATAGGGTTTCTCTGTGTAGTCCTGGCTGTCCTGGAACTCACTCTGTAGACCCATCTGGCCTCCAACTCAGAGATCCACCTGCCTCTGCCTCCTGAGTGTTGGGATTGATGGCATGCAGCAGGACTGCCTGGCAAGGGGCCGGGACTTTTTAATCCTTACATGTGTCAAGAACATATCTTAGCACTAGTGAGATGGCTTAGCTGTTTGTAAGCATTTGCTTCCAAGCTTGATAACTTGAGTTTGATCTCTGGAAGCTATTTGATAGGAGACAATTGACCCTACAAGTATTCCCTGACCTAACTACCTACCTCCCTACACACACACACACACACACACACACACACACACACACACACACACACACTGTAGTAAGAATTGTTAAAGGAATTAAAATTAAAATGTGAAAGTGGAAAAGAATTTATGCTTATATTTTGGAGAAAAATATTAGTTTAATAGTATGTATACCTGTAGACGAAAATAGAATTGCCAGTTGGGTGAGGTAGCACACACCTTTAATCCCAGCTCTCAGGAGGCAGAGGTAGGTGGATCTCTGTGAGATCAGGGCCAGACTGGTCTACATAGTGAGTTTCAGGACAGCCAGGATTACATAGAGAGACACAGTCTCAAACAAACAAACAAAAGAGAAAAAGAAACTCACTAAACAATTACAATTTTATTTAATCTCCGTAGGCCTAAATTTTCTTTTAGGCTTCTGAAGTTACTGAGCTGGGGAGTGTAAACCATATCTAATGAATCTGACATGTACATCAAACCCTTGAAGCAGATAATAGGTAAGGTGATTAGCTTTATCATATGTGGCAACTATGAAGTACTACATGAGGTGAAAATATCAGAATGAGTATTCTTCATAATGAGAATATCCGTCATGGAGTGATAGTATCTCCTCCAGACCTACATTAGGAAACACATGGCTGTTTTAAGCTAAAGGTGGGGAGAAAGCACCATGGTTCTTGGCTTTTGGTAACATAGAATAAAATGCTGGCATAGAAGAAAACCCACAGTAAAGGCTGGCTGTAAAATAGGGAAGTTCCAAGAAACCTGAGTGCAAGGGTCATTTTTAGTACCTTGAACATCCTTTGAAATACACATGCAGATACTAATGATAAAGTAACCAGTTAAACATAGTTAAAAAAGTCAAAAGCATCAGTGAGTCTATAAGCATGTGAAAAGGTATTATAGACAAACTTACTTCAAAAAGAAAAACAGGACAAAAGTATTGGTAATTTAATTGAAGTTTGCATGCACTGCTTAAGAACAGATTTTCCTAGAACAACAGTAAAACACTCAAGTTTTCTTCTCAATCCCTGCCAGAAATGGTTCTATTGGACTTTTATTTGTGCTATTTATGTTTTTCTTTTTGAGACAGGGTCTTACTATGTACACCAACGTGACCTCAATGCTCCTGAGACCTGCCTGCCTCCACTTCCTTTAGTGCTGGCATTAAAGGTGCATGCCCTGCTTCTGTGGATTTTTAAAATACCCTATAGAGTGCTCACGAAGTCATTTCATGTGGCTAGTTACCTTGGCATCTCAGTCACTGAACTGTTCATGAATAATTTAGCGGCAGAGGCTACTCACATCCCCTCTGCTGTCTAAAACAGACAGCAGTTACCTATCCTTTTTGCACTCAAAGCTATAGTGTTGAACTTGTGGATGCCTGGGCCCATTACCAGATTATTTTCATCTATCTATCTATCTATCTATCTATCTATCTATCTATCTATCTATCTATCTATTTTGTTTTTTTGAGTCAGGGTTTCTCTGTGTAACAGCACTAGCTGTCCTGGGACTTGATCTGTAGGGCAGGCTGGCCTTGAACTCACAGAGATCCGCCTGCCTCTGCCTCCTGGGTGCTGGGATTAAAGCTGTGCACAACCACTGCCCAACTCTAATTATAGATTCTTAAACCATGTTGAGGTTCATAGACTAAGTCATTGGGGACATACTGCATTTAACACATGAAAGTTTAGAAACACTATACTTATTTGCATAAAATAAACATCACAATATGCTGTGCTTTGTAATTATTTTCGCCATTTTTTCCCCAAAAGCTTAAAGATCTGTCAAAAGCTGAAACCTGTATAAGGCTTTTAGCCTGGAGTTTGCAACATTTTGGGAATTTTTTTGAATTTCTAGTTTCTACTTTTGTTCAATCCCTAAGATATGTTCAGAACCAGATAAGATGTTGAACAAGAAGAGGTAGGTTTACTCCATTGAGACATTTGCTCAGGTGAGTCTACTATCCTATCATATGGCTGTAACTACAGTTTGTAGCCTCTAACTTACAAGAATTGGTTAAGCATTATATAAGAATAAAGCCATTCCAATTAGTTTGTAACCTCTGCCATTGTGATTAAATTACTTGGCTTCTTTCCACTCATCAGATCTGTCCCCCAAAGCTGGTTGATGTGTCAT